GTTTCAGGCCGGTTTACTCGATGGGGTTGATGGCGTCTGAGGCACAGTTTCATTCGGTTGTGGTCACTTCCACAGCTGTTTGTTTTGTCTTCGTCTATGTACAGAGCTGTGATGTTTATATCTTGCCTTACTACCTCTTGATTGTAAAGTATGTAGTCTATAGCAGATTTGTTAGCTCTGCGTGACCATGTGTAGGTGCCTTCACAAGCTGGATGGAGGTTTGCTATTTGTAGGTTGCATTGTTTAATTAATTTTCGGAAGCCAGCAGCATCTTTTCGTGACCATCCAATTCTACTATGTGGCAGTTGAAATCTCCCATCAGTAGTACCGGTTGGCCTTTGTAGGTTTCTTCAATGTCTTTCTTGAGGCATGCGTAAATGCTGTCATTCCACTTTTGTTCCTCGAGGCCTGTTGCCATGTATATGACACAAATGTACAGGTCACGTGTGTCAATCTTTATTTTTATCCACATGTGTTCCTTGTCCTGGCAGTCCCCATTTACAGTGCTTCTCTTCGGTGTAATAAAACCAATGCCTCCACCCCGTTTTTGTCCTTTACTTCTGTTCTTTCCTTGCCATACTAGCCCCGGGAGCAGAGGTTGTTCGTCGTCCCGCAGGTGAGTTTCCGTTAGAGCGTAGATATCTATTTTTGTCTGTTCACTTGGTCTTGGAGTTCAGCCCACTTGAGTTTGTTTGTTCCTTGCATGTTTAGTAGGCATATGGTGAGTTCTTTTTTCACTTCACTCTGCTTTGTTCTTCTGTTTCTTCTTTTTCTGGAAAGTGGTTGACAATGATCTCTGGAGGACTGAAATTGGGGGGGGGTTGTGCGTATGGTTTTGCCTGCTTGGTTGCTTACCAGTGCCGGTTTCTCTGTCCTAGTTTGCCTAGGGCTGTTGTCATTGCTTTCAGTAGCGTTTGCACTGTCCTTTGATCTGGTCTTGTTGATCGTCTCCAGTGTTGTGGGCGCGTTGGTTGTTTGTCCCATAAAAAAGATTTAATGGCCTCACCTAGTTGGCTGCCAACCTGGTCCGCTGCCTGTTCCGAGTAGTGGATATCATCCAGGTGATCTGCGGTTAGCTGGGCGGCTGCTGACATAAACCGCACACTGGGGCCCAAGGCTGTACACGCCGTTTGAACTGCCGTGTTCCATGTTTGGCATGCTGTAGCAAATTGTTGACCCCTTGCTTTCGGTTCAGGGATGGCACTGACTATGTAGTGGTGTTTGGGTGTCTTTTGGCTCCAGTAAGTCAGTTGTTGCTTCAGGTGGTCAGTGGTCTTTTTAATGTCTTTTACCCGGGCAGTGAGATGGCGCCACAGTCGCGAGTTGCGCTGTCGCGGGCGCACGTGTTGCCGGTGTTGCTCCTCCCCGCAGTTGCTTGGCCGCGTGCGCGGCTGTCATCGCGCTTTTTTTTTCTCGTTGTTGTGACCGTGCGCGCACGTGGTTATCCTCGAAGACTTCGATCATCTGTGAATTGTGACAACCTAGCACTACCGGCCACAGGACGTCTCGGAGCTGCCAAGCTTTACGATGCCAACTTGCTTCGTGCCCGGCTGCACCAGCGGGTACAAAAGCAATCCAGAAAAGCGGCACTTTTTTGCACCGCCGTCCGATCCGCAGCTGCTTGAAAGGTGGGTGAGAGCTATTCCCCGCGCCGATAAACTTCTGAGCAAGACATGCAAAGTGTGTGACGTGCATTTTATGCAACATGACATTGTGAAGACTTACAAGCATGCCATTGACGGCCAGGTTGTTGAAATAGACCGCGGCTGTTGGGCATTACAGCCTGAAGCCGTGCCGTGTCAATTTCCGAATGTTCCAAGCTATTTGTCAAAAACAATAAAGAGGCGGCGGTCGCCTAAGGATAGGGCCAGCTTACCCAACAAAGTCGTACTTGTTGCTACGCCATCAGATGAGTACCAGCAAGAAGTTCCTGATCCCGTGCACGACATTGATTTCGCACAGATTGTCGAAAACGGCTCATCTTTAAAGCTTCCGAAAAACTGGAGAATGGCGGACCTTGAGGAGGACACTGGTAAACCTCGGCAGGTTATCTTTTACAAGGCGGGAATGAAGGACGATGTTTACGCGATCCTGAAGAGCGTCGCGATTCACGAGGACCTCACGTACGTCATCCATGCAAATGGAAGACTGTTGCGCAGCTGGGATGCAGAGATTAACATATTTTCTGCGCAAGATGTGGAAGCGATTGTACAAATTGTGCACGCAAAACAATTTTGCCGTGGTTGCCCTCTTATCGATGTCACCAACTCCAGCAGAGTGACAAAAAAAGTTGGAGGTAGGCTTCATCACAACGATTGCGCCGTTCTGACTGACGCAGATAAAGAAGTGTGTGCTGCATGTGCCAACTTGACAAAAAGTTTAAAGCGAAAGGCAACGTCCACACGATCAAAGAGAAAGGTGCCCGTGGCAGCAAGTGCGCTGAGAAAGCGGCTAATTCGTGCCACTGCCGCACGAGAGCGAAAGAAAGCAGATGTAAAGCACCTGAGTGAGAAGCTCAAGAACGCATTGACGGCGACTCTGGATGATATAATTAAAGATTTGCCTGAAGTACAAAAGATGGCTGTTCGGGCAGCAGTGATGCAGCAGGCAGCGAAATCGCCTCGTGGCCACAGATACACAGCGGACTGGCTGATGGTCTGTTTGCTTTTGCGGTTAACAAGTCCGAAAGGCTACAATGCCCTTTCAAGTATGAGAGCTCTTCCCCTCCCAAGTACTAGCCGTCTCGTGCAGCTGCTGAAAGGACTTCCGTGCGAGTACGGTTTGAACAAGTTCGCTCTTGAAAGCATCCAGCTCCAAATGACAAGCAAGCCAGATAACCAAACATATGGGTGTATCATAATTGATGAGGTGAAGTTGCGAGAAACAACTGAATTTAACAGAATGTGTACGTCAGTTTTCGATCTATTCGTGAGGCGTTTTCCCACCGCAAAAAAAAAAAAAAAGACGAATAGCAGTGTTTCATTCATCCAACAAAATTTACTAGTCGCCAAGTCCTCATGTTACGTAACCCCGAGTGCTATAAGTTTAAGATTTCTATTTCTTTTAGCGCGCTGAATTGTAAACTACTAATGTGGTCTTGATGCAATGGACACAGGAAGGCGCAGGGTGAAGCGATCACTTTGTCACTGCGCAAAACGGATGCCTGCGAAGTACGTACAGGCTTTTTTTCAAGTTCGTGAGTCATACAACGCGCACGAATTAAAGCGCGTGGCCTCTGTTAAATAGCGAGAGTAAAGACCAAGTACACTGTTCGCACAATTCTCACTCGGGCGCACGCAAAGGCTCACGCGACACCCTTCGCGCTAGCAGACGACTCTCGCTCTCCTAGCGCAAGGCGCGACTGCAGCGCTGCGGTGGCGGGTGCGGCGGCCGGCCGCCTTCTCCCTGGGCGCGGCGCGAGGAGTTGCGGAACTGAAAAAGTATCTATAAACGTTGTGCAAGCAGGTGGGCAAACATTTCTGTAAAGTGTAAAAAACAAGCCCTTCCTTTGAGATACGCATAATAAGAAAACAAAACTTGAGCGATCGATACGTTTCTTCCAAGTGCGAGCTTGTTTCCGCACAAAACGACAAGGCCTCGCCCCACGTATCCGTCGCAGCGTGTCAGCGCAAAGCTTTTTGACGCAGGCCGCCGCGCCCTCTCCCTATACAGAAAGTGGGCACGCGAAGCCGCGCGCTCTCTCTCTCTCTCCATATGGGAGAGGGTTCGACGTCGCGTCAAAAAGACGGTGTTGCAACGGGTACGCTTGGTCAGGCCTTTAGCGATGCGAATCTCTGCGCAAGACGCAACACGCGAATTCGATACAAGTCAGAACACCGAAAGCTGGCTGAAGCAAGTTTTCGTGGTGGTGGTGGCGGCACACACACACACACACGCACGCGCACACACGCACACGCACACGCACACACGCACGCGCACACGCACGCACGCGCACGCACGCACGCGCACGCGCGCGCGCGGACGCACACACACGTACACCCCCGGCGCACGAAACTTTAAGCCTTAGCCCAAAATTCCCTGTCGACTGTCTGGCTCAAAGCAGGCTTCTCTCCATAAGACCTCATGCTGTGGAGAAGCCAGCTTTGATGTCCCTTTGCAACAGGCGTAGTAAGAGTTGCAAAGTAGGCGCAGTGTTAGGTAAGTGGTAGCCGATTACTTGAGCTCGGGGATTTTTAAACTTCGGCATTTAGAGCAGTTCCCGCAATAAGGCGATGCGTCATCGTCGTGCATCGTCCCTATTTATATACATGAATGCGATGTTTTAAGAATGTAGTGCGGTCTGCTGTAGTATCGTATTAAGAGAAACCTTTAACTCCGGACCAACTCTAATTCGTCTGTTCAAATATGCCTGAAACTTGCACCAGCACCGATTCAAATTAAATTATGTGGCTGAAAATTTTAATTTCTTACTAATGTTGCAATTTTAAGAAATGTCGAACAAAATTCAACTCTGCTGCCTACGTTTGCATAATGTTAGGTTTTAACTTTTCTTGAAGCCTTACAAACCTTGTCAAATAATTGCAATGGTTGACAAAAACAATAAACAAAATGATTTTTGTGATGTCATCTGTTTAGATAGTAGTTTCCCCGCTAATGCTTCCTTATAAAGTAAACGTGGCTTTTATCTTTGTTTTACGATGAACGACCAAGGGAGCATGAATGGTCACGAGTATTATTGCTTTGCAAGAGACGTGAAAGCATGTTATGCGAGCGTGTCTGTAGCTCACTTTATCCCCCAATATCAATACTGAAAGAAGAGCCAAAGGTGAAGAGTAAAAGTCCACTCCGAGAGGGACTTGTTGGATAAGTCTATCTGTCAGAACTGCGTGATACCGTTGCTGTGTCTTCAGCTTAATTCGTCCATAAAGTTTCCCTCTCGCGTTAGCTTGGTCTCAGACTTTGTCAGTGTCCTGTGTGTTGCCGATTTCTGAAGTGGACAGACATGTGTATTTACTTATTATGTGCCTTGGGCTGCGCAGGGCCGTGCGCGGCGGCCAGAGCCTCGATGCTGTCGCTGCGGCAGCCCGACTACCTGTCCCCGCTGTGCGGCGGTGGCGGCTCGGACCGCAAGGTGCGCAGTGCCTCGGAGGGGGGCCCCGACTGGGCGTCCATGAGCGGCGCACCGCCCGTTGAAGCGCCCCCGGCCGACCCCTGGTTCCGGCCGCCCGACTACCCGTCCTTTTATCCACGCATCCCCTTCCCGCTGGCAGCGTATGGGGCACCACCGCCGGCCTCTCTGCTGGCCAGCCGGCGACCCTATCCGCAGCCAGAGCCACCACCGCTGCCACCGCCGCCGCCGACGTTCCAGACCCGGCGCCGGTCGCCGCCAAGCCCGCCGTACCGACTACCCAGTGGCAAGGAGGGCAGCCTCAAGCATCGCATTCTTCAGCCGCCGGCCAGTATCAACATCGTTGACCCCCCGGCCTCGCTGCTTGCTGGCGCGCCACTGTCGGCGCCGCCTGTGCGCAGCCGAGCTCCCCAGGGTCCCCAGCTGGCTGTTGCAGCAAGCAGCACCAGTGCCAGCAGCAGCAGCAGCAGCAGCAGTGCCCAAGTACCCGGTGCTCTACACTACCCCGCCTATTTTGTCAAAGGCTCCATCATCCAGCTGGGTAGTGGTCTGCTCAAGAAAGTTGAAGACTTGCGTACCGAGGATTTCGTGAGTAGTGCCAACCTGAGCCGAGACCTACGTATCGATTCGAGCCGGGTGTTGCGTGTTGCTGAGGCACCCTCGAAGGGTGATGGTGTTGCCCTGCTGAGCTTCTCAGTCGGCCAGAACCAGGTCCAGGTGAGACTTGCACTTCTCTAAGTCTGAATCGCTTCCTAATTTTGCATCCAGTATTGATGTCCCTGTTCATTTATTGATCTCACGACAAAAGCATAGCTGCTCTGTCACACAGTGTGACCGTTGCAGAGATGAATGTTTGCTGGATGTTGCCAGAAGCAAATCCAGAAGGAGTATGCATAGTGGTAGGAGTAGAAGGACTTGCCTTTATTTCTGTTATGTTGTCGTGCAGGTGACAGTGGAGGCACCGGTAGAGCACCCTTTCTTTGTCTTCAACCGCGGTTGGTCTTCCTGCAATCCTGAGCGCTCTCTCCAGCGCTACCAGCTCCAGTGCCACAGGCTGAGTGTTGGCGATGTCTGCATCTCGCTCACACATCGTGCTCGCCGAGCAGGACTGCCCCCACGACCACCCCCTGCAGCCCCTGGGGCGGACCCGATGAACCCACTGAGCATCCGTGAGCCAGCAGCCCGTAAGCGCCGCTGGTCTGCCCCAGACCAAGTGGCTCCTGTGTCGGAGAGGACCACGTGATGCAGTGCTGTGATGACTGGTATTTTTCCTCGTGGCCTCCCTGCCGCATTCCTCTCCAGGACCAGTGGGCTCTTCCAGCTGGGAGGAGCAGGCTGCACATCCAACCACCATGTGACTTAGCTGTCTACTTACGGATTTGGGTATGCGATGGCCATTTGAGGGCTCCCCGGTTAATCAGAACTCTGATGTCGGGCTCCCTAAATTTGTCCGCGCTTAAGTATACCCTAATGGGCCTCTAGACTGCCTGTCGCCATGTGCTTGTCTCCGAGGCACAAATTGTGCTCTTGGAGACCCAAAGAACTGTCGGTTCCATAGCAGAGCCATATGTACACAAGATCTCTCAATCTGGGTAGAAAGACCTCCCAAAGAATATTTTTCAAGTGAAAAGGCTCCATTTTTAGAGCTAGCCATACCAGGAAACATTGCCGAAGGCCAGTTAAAACGGATTTTTTTGGGGAAGTTGTCCAAATCTAAGTCACCCAGAGAGCGAAGTGCTCCAATCAATATTTGCAAAATGAGATTGATCTCACTGCCTGGACCAAGGCAACTCCGAATTCTGATACTGAGGCTCTCTTGGAAGTTAACAGCAGACTCCTTGCTCTCTGCAGAGACCATGCTGGCCATGGGTGTTGTGTTTTGGCGATCTCCAGCAATGTTTGCTACTTGTTTTTGTTTGTTGTTTAATACCTCTGTAATTGTTTGTGCTCCCTCACCAAACATGTTTGTTACTGCATTCGTTATATTGCCATTGTCTGTTTGGGTGCTTCTTCTTGCTCAGCCAGACACGCCATTCTGTAATGGGCAAAAGTCGTCAGCTCAAGCCCTGGCTGTCTTTGTGGCTGCTTACGCAAAGCCCACATTAGTGATGCCAAAAGGTAACGGACTAAAGGCAAGTCCATGTGTTCATATTAAGTGCTTACACAGGGTCCTTGTTGACTGAAGCCAATTGAAATGCTAGTGAAACCTGCCCCTGCAGAAATCTTACTGATTGTAGGCCACAGCTAGTGTAGGCACATTGGAGTGCCAGCAAAAGTTCAGTGCCTTCTTGCTGCCGGAGAAGCCCAGAAACAAGTACTGTCTGTTGCTTCCTAAATATCGCCATCATACAGTAGTGCATTTGCATACCTGCCAACTCTCCTGATTTGCCTGGGAAAATGTCGAATTTTGAGCACTCTCTTCCTTTGCATGGGCATAGCCGTAAATATACCGAAAAACAGCCCTAATCACCACTGCTAAAACAAAATAACAAAGCAAAAAGGTTATCAAGAGAGCTGGTCTTGAGGAACTCCTAGGGCTTTCCAGAGAGGCTACGAGACCCCCCCCCCCCCCCCGCTTCCCAACAATATAGAGGAAGACTGGGGAAGGAGGGGGAAGAAGGGGGTCTTTGGCTGTGCCTTTGATCAAATTAGCAGTGTCACTGCATTTGCATGTGACCTTCGTTATTTGCAATTCAACGTGTTTATTTTTAGATGCGAAGCAGCTCTGACTAGTCGGTGTAATGCTGTTCGTGTCTCCGTGCCAACGCGCAGCATCGCGTCGGCACAGAGAGACGTACGAACAACTCACCACAACAGACAACGCGCTGCGTAGCGTTTGATGCCTGGGTGCCAACGCGCTGCACCGCGTTGGCACCCTGCACCGCGTTGGCACCCAGGCATCAAACACGCCGACAGTGGAAGGCCAACTCCGGTGAATTTTCGCTGCCATCGGCAACGTCTCAAAAGCGCTGCGCGCCCTCGGCGAAAGCGCCTACCCGCAAGCGCCGGGCTCCGCCGGCCGATCCGGAGGCCACCTGGAAGAACGATCCGGAATCTCTTGAAGACGCTCTTGCCCCGAGTTCGTTGCCATGCACGTTGGCGACGTCGCAATCCTCATGCTGTACCTTGCTCCCAACCTTCAGTGCTGTCCGGAGGAGGCGCTGACTGATTCCGGCGAGGCGTGACAATCTCGGAAGACTTCAATGTTGACGTCAGCGAAAGAGGAGGAGAATGGCTTGTCGATTACATGCGTGACGTGCACTCGCTGAAGTGCGTGTCGGCGGAACGGAAACTACCCACCACGATAAGGGGAACGTGCATCGATCTGATCTGTGGCAACTTAGACGTAGAATGTGTGCAGGAACCTTTCAGCATGCACTTCAGCGATCACAAGGCCGTGGTGGTCAAGGCGAAAAGCGCGCCAGCTTCGTTTCACTGCCCGTGTCCACTCTGAAGAAACGACAAGAATTATGCCAGCCATCGCTTCAAACAAATCTTCCAGTCATTTTTGTGCTTTTGAAACTAATTTAATAAGGTAAATTGTTGACGTTTAACGTCGCAGAAACGACGACATGACTATGAGAGATGTCATACTGGAGGGCTCCAAAAATTTCGACCACCTGGGGCTCTTCAACACGCGCCTAAATCTAAAAACACCGGCCTTAAGCGTTTTTCCCTCTGTCAAAAATGCACTTCTGAAGAAATGGGTTTCTTATGTTCTGCAGGATTTAATTTTGAGACCGTCTTTAGCTGCCATTCATGATAAAAGTTGATGACGTTAATGAGTTGGCTATAATTTTTCCAATGAATGGCAGTACTTGGCCTCTACGATATTAGGTGGTATTTACGGGTTAACTACCTCCCTTTATTGAAAGCATCGGTAATGGCCTGCACTTACGGTTTACTACCTCCCCTTATTGAAAGCATCGTTAATGGCCTACACTGGAAACCGACTATAGTATCGCTGCAGGTGTGTCAACATCCGTTGGACGCTGGTGAAAAAAATGCTGTAACGTGTGGTTCCGGTGTTTAGTGATGGTTTTAACCCAACGCTGCACTGAAGTTTTTCACAATTATTGGTTACATATTCGTGCTTCTTAATGAGGTTAGACACACGTTTGGAATGGGTTTACCGCAGTGTTTATTTCGCATGCCACACATTGTGCCTCGCATGGTCACAGTTGTGAAGGAGTCTAATGACCGGTTGAATGCGTTTCACACTCTGCCGAAGTGCCGCTGGAGAAACTCCCACCGAAAGCAGGTGTTCAGCCCGGGGGACGCACTCTTGCAATCGTCACGACGCTGTTGTGCCCGCAACGCGTTGCAAGTGTGACAAGCTAACTCGTCGGCATGGTTTGCAGGATCCGCCCGCCACCGGCCCTTGCATTCCCATTCGCAATTTAGTGTGGCTCGGAAGGCTGCCTAATCATCGGTATGCAGTTGCTGCCAACGCTAGACCTCCCTGGCATGTTTTTGTATCGGCCCGGTGAATGCCAGCTCTCACATTTGCACTGACTGTCAGCGCTTTTCTAGAGTTGTCCGTGACCTACTCAAGTGGAAGCTTTCAGTAGCAACTCAGCTAAGACAGGATGGACAACGTCACTCACAACGCAGCCAATGGTGCGCGTGCTAAGATGTATAAGCGCTAGCTGTTGGGCCAGTTGGTGAATCGTGAACTGAGAAATGGGGTACCAGCGAATACAAAGAAACACGTTCACAAGTACAGTTAAAAGTCCCACATTCGTCTTCTTGTGTCAGGCTTCCGGTGTTGTCCGTGGCCGTGTCCACGTGCTGGCAAGTGTTATCTCTCTGTTCTTACTCCCTCTCCCATAGCAACAGCTGCAGGTGCGCGCGCTTATCCTCGCCCCTAAAAACCGGAGCATGGGGTGCGAGAGTGTAGGAGAGGCTAGGTGCAATTCTTCGCCTCTCATTTCCTCGCCATTCGCTCACTCTTTCGTCCGCTTGCGCCTCACTCTCGGATCGTTTCCTGGCTGGACGCCTGTCAAGAACATCCAGCAATGTGTGCTTGAAACGCCACTGTGAAATGCCAATGTCAAGCCTAGAATGCTGTTTCTTTAGTTCACTTCATAGTATATTTAACCGTGCATGCTAGGTACTAGAGCTGGAAATGCATGCTGCGTTTCTCGCGACAGAAAAACGCCACGTGTGGCAAATGGCGCTATTGCCTGCATGGTGTAAGCAAAGAAAAGAAAACATTATTCTTCTAACGCTGGGTTCTCACGTACAAAACGCCGTTATGGACACTACACAATGCATTCGCATTTCCTCCCAATTCCATTGAGGAAGGTGGGGGCATTTTTGTACTCCCTGGTACCCTATAATCGCTGATGTATAACTTTACTGCGACTCAGTCAGAGCTGATGTTGCTGTGGCCCCGAGAAATAAGTAGAAATTTACGCCATTTTTTCTTTGTCGCTACCCTCCACACTCCCCTTTCTACGAAAATCCCAGACTTTCGGGGTTCCCAGGTTGGCAGGTATGCATTTGGAGAAACCTGTACAAGGTGTGTTGTGTACTTCCTATGAGGACTGTCCCTTTGGACTGGTGGGCTTCAGGGGCCGGTTTTACTGCGCTATCCAATGGGCAAGTGCGAATTTCCTACACATGTGTTGCCCACACTGTTTGTAATGGCTATTCTGTCCAATAAGGGCGCCACCAAAGTTTTGAGACTCCTTCACTTGATCTCTCAACACCACCGGTCAACACGAAGTGGTAGAAGTGCGAGACTAAAACTTTTTTTTCTTTTCTCATTGTTGTCCTTGAGACAAAGTGTTCTACACCAGTGCACATGCTATAACTGTCAGTGTTGCTGGCCTACGTACCAAGATTAAACCAGTGTTTGTTTCTTTCTGACTCGTGCCTCACTTCAATGACATCTCTAAATAAATACAGCAACCTACTGTGGAGGAGTAGAGACAGTAATTGTTGGCTTATTTTTTTTTTTCTTGCATGGAACCATGAACATAGATTACTGAGCGTATTGTGCAATTCCCAATGAAGCAATAATAATAATTATTATTACTAATATTATTAGTATTGCAGTAGGTATACCTCCAGTTTTCTGTTTCCATTTATGGAGTGCCAAATGGAGCATTTATGTTACAGTAGCAGAATTTTTGTGAAGGCAGTCAGAGATCTAGGGTTAATTGCATGACCTCGGAAATCAGGGACGTCTGACTTCCATTCTTTTTCCCTCCGATTTCCATGGTTATGTGTAAGCATCTTGCGATGCGACGAGATATCTATTGTTGCAGCTGCTTTAGTATGTTATAACGAGTACTTACTATGCCTACTGTGCTTATATCAATCACTATGTAGTAGTAAGCTAGAGACAATTCTTTGCAGCAACAATTATCATTGTGTGGTCGATTTTGCATTGCAACACCTGTGATTCTGCACATAATGGGATTAGGGTAAAATATGCATTTGTCTCTACTCCTTTGAAATTACTGTACGCTATTTGAGAATTTAGACATCAAACTTCTGCATGTGTTATGTTTGCGCACATAATCAAGGATGCGAGAGGGATGGGAATGCTTTTGGTCTGAACCAGCGGCAAGCAGACGAGGATTGAGCCACTCGCAAAGGTAAGCCAAACTACAATTCCAGTGACCATAGGCAAACCTACATCCCCGTGCCAATCTGATTGCCTGAAAAAAACTTTTGGGTAACAAAACAAACAAAAAAAGACCACTCTGGTGCCCCTACAGCATCCGTCTGATTGCTTGTCGTGCAGAACAGGTGCTTGAACTAGGATGAAACATACAGTGTGGTGGTAGTGCCCCAACCGTGGAGAAATCCGGTCCCACTTCAGGCTGCCCTAACATTTTCAAACAGAAAGCCAAATGCAGCAGTCGAGCCAGCACGACTCTGCAATCCCACAGGGATCGCAGCGTCGTGCGGACGACCCTCGGGAATTGACCGTTGTTTGTCACCTCCCCATTTTTGTAGGTTCCCTTTGCTTTTTTCTGTTTAGACTAAGAAAACTTGAAAAAAAAAAAGCTGCATTGCTTTATTTCATGTGGACACAGGGAAGAATACCAGGTGATAAAAGAAAGACAGTAAACGATCGTTAAACAAACGTGCGTCACAAGAAAGAGTATGCAATGGAAATACATTTTAGACCATTATGAATCGAACAGATTCACAAAACAAGGAGGCTTCGCATCGCAAAGCAAGAAAAGAATTCGTCACCTAAGCAATGCACAAATCAAACATGCTTTCGTGACAAAAAGAAAAAATGAGGATGGTGATCTGGCATCAAAAGGGTCATCCATAAATAAAGATCACGTAAAGCAATTTATGAAAAATCGTATTCACAAATGAGACTCGCATGTTTCATGACAAGAAACAAATGTGTATTTGAGCAGGTGTACAGTCGCGAAGGCACGGATGCAGTGTGCTCCCCCCCACCCAAAAAAAGACAAAAAATAAAGCTTGGATGCTTCATTCTGCCCTTTTCAACGCGACAGCTTCAAGGAGCGTTTCGCCGATATTCCAGCGTCGTTGGTTGTGAGCAAAAAGTCGTCTTGTGCGTGACCGAAAAATCGAAAAAGATTCGAAGAAAATTAACATTTTTGGGTGAAGATCGAACCCGGGTCTTTTGCGTGGCAAGCCGGCGTTCTCCCACACTGCCACGCGTCCGCTTCTGAATGCAGTGAAAGTAACTTTCATGTTGGACAAACACGTGTCCCGTATACATGCTTCACAATACAATATCAGACATAACACTAAAAATATTGCGTGGTACGAGCGTACATTACCATCGGGCGTCGGAACATGATTGATTTGATTTGATGATTGATTTGTGGGGTTTAACGTCCCAAAACCACCGTATGATTATGAGAGACGCCGTAGTGGAGGGCTCCGGAAATTTTGACCACCTGGAGTTCTTAACGTGCACCCAAATCTGAGCACAAGGGCCTACAACATTTCCGCCTCCATCGGAAATGCAGCCGCCGCAGCCGGGATTCAGTCCCGCGACCTGCGAGTCAGCAGCCGAGTACCTTAGCCACTAGACCACCGCGGCGGGGCAGGGCGTCAGAACACGTGATAATCATGATGACTTAATGGTTTAAAGCCGGTCACCCATTGCAAAGGGCGCGTACGTTACTGCAGGCATTCTCTTGAACCCATGGTAATTTGTGCACGGCAAGTTAGAAAGGATTTCATGCATCAAGCGTTTAAAGTACGCACTATAGGACAGGATATCGCCATCGTCTTCGATCAACTCTTAGAGGCCAAGCTTAAGGATCCCCTCATTTTTTTCTCTCTCCTGCTTCACTACGGTCTTTTCGCGGCTGTTTTCTGGACATCACTCTGTGTTCGCGTTTCTGGTGTCTGTGCATTTGTGGCTGCGTTGAAGCCGAGAAAATCGATGGAGTAGAGAGAGGTAGGGTCTCGTCTAAGGTGCGGAAAAGGAACAGATTACCAGCTTGGGAAGAGGGTGTGTAAGTTTCAAGCAATACTTATCTGCAGACTGACTAGTCGGTTCTAACTTGAAAACTCGACTTGCTGCGCAGAATGAGAAGGAAGATGGGAAAGAGCGCATTGCTTCGGCTTGCGCAGAAAGTCCAGTTTTCTTGTTTCACTTGAAGTATTACCTTTTGCGGTGTACCACTAGGTCTAATGTTGGTCGGACTTTCACACACGGTGCAAAATAGTTCTGGCGCAACGGACTTTCACGAGTAGCAAGTCGCCAAACGCCAATTGTCAATGTACATCGTTGAGACGTGTGTGTTGTGGCACAAACGTCTCGAGGGGATTTGATGTTGAGATGTTATGCGGGAGTGCTTGGGAAGACACAGCCCTTACCAGTCGGAACACTTCTTGTGTTGCGGCAGCGGGGGTCGGCATTCTCACGCCACCAGCACTCGCGCTGTCACAGCGCACGAAATCGGCCCTCCATTTCTTGAGGAGGGGCCGGGCCCCCTCGGCAGGTCAATTGCAGCTTTGCGGCATAATTTTACAAGCGCTAGAGTCTACTTTTCTGGACAGGGAAATTATAACTGCACTGTGTTCTCAACAAAATTGCGTAGTGAATCGGGGGGGGGGGGGGGGTACTTACCTAGACATCCTCACTGCAATAAATTTAAGTTTGTCGTAACGTGTCACGAGTGTGTTCCGCCCTCATTTGTTTGCAATGCACAAACCTGGTGATGGGTGCAAAAGTATTCGACCCACGCGAAAGTCTTGTTGCCGGCTATCACGCATCAATTCGAGCATATCGAGCACTCTTTCCCGTCCACGTTTCTTCGGTAGTTACGCTGCAACCACTCCTTGCGCTGTGCAAGTATGTTGACTGCAAATCGCCTACTAGTCCAAGCATTCGTCTTACCTGGTGTTATACGTCCCGAAACCACGATGTGATTATGAGAGACGCCGTGGTGGAAGGCTCCGGAAAATTTCACTATCTAGTGTTTTTTTTTTTTTTAACCGTGCACTGAGATCGCGCAGTACGCAGGCGTCCAGTATATTTCGCCTCCATCGAAATGTGACTGACCTCCGCGGCGGCCATGATCTAACCCGCGGTTAGCAGCCGAGCGCCACAAGCACTGGCGCACTGCGGCGCACCATTGTTGCGTACGAAGATAGTTCGATATAAAGGACAATTTGATTTACCCGAGTATTGCCAGGCAGCGACTCACAACTTTGATTACACAATGTTGCCAGACAGCGACTCCGCACTATCACGCCATCTTGGTGCCCGCACTGCGTCTACGCCCGATTCCGCAACGTTCGTTGCGGTATAGCGTGTTAAACGCTGCCGGAGAAGCCCGAAAATGCGTTATGCTCTATGCCGTTGTGCACTATACCATAACAGAAAAAGCGTGCAAATGTTCCGCATCCCAGCGAGCCCGGGCTGATGCCAACTCTGGCTGGCTAAAATGGGGCGGGACGAGTGGAAGCCCACCAGTGTGTCTCGTATTTGTTCTGTGAGTACTGCGTATTTTGTTGACGTTTTTTTTTTTTTGCTTCAGGGAACGTATGGTTCACGTTGTTCGCGAATACATAGGTAATCGAAGTTGTTGATGAGTTCACGCGTTGCGAATAGGAAGCCTACATACGGGATGCGTCGGTGTGATTCGCGTAGCTGAAGGGAGTAACGGCAAGCCCCAAAACGCCAGCGCACAGAAAAAAAAAATATGTTAAGCTTGGTGGAATTTGGTAACACTGTGCCTCTTTACCCGCTGATTTTGGCTGAGGTTCTTGAAGGCACTGTTTTAAGATGTCTCCATCTTAAAACGGCCAGTCATGTGGGCTACCTAAGTTGCCTGGACACGCAGTGCCGGCTGCTGCTCGCTCGCTTAGAGGAGGGGGGTGAGGGGGGGGGGACGGGCAACACAAATTGGGCTTGGTGGTCAAGCGTCCCGAACGATGCGCATCACTTGAAAAGAGGAATGACGTAAATATGAGACGCAGTGAAGGCTTGCGCTAGTCGGCGTACACGTGTGCGCGCAGAGGGGGGGGAATCTGTCCCATACACTATAATAGTGGGGGGGGGGGGGGGGGCTGCGGTAAAGCATTGGCCCCACTCATCAACTTTATGGGGAGGAACCTTGCGCACGCGTATAGTCAGTATACATACTTGTAAGCGGAAGAGAGTGTGTTGTCCCTCGTCTTCGTCCGTCTTAGTTTCCTTCGCATGTACCTAAATCTATACGGGTATTTTGGCATTTTCTGCCCAGCTAAAGGCTACCGTGGTGGTCGGATGTTGAACCCGCGCCCTCCAGCTTGCCAGCGTCACACCTTAGCAACACGACTTGATAAGCTGCAGGTGGCGGAAAACAGGAAGAAGCAGATGCCGAAGACAGCGCTGAACTTTTAAGTTATGCACTCTGCTCCGTGCTATA